AGTATATATATATATATATATATAATAATATAACTTGCATTATATTCTAAAGCATATGAACATTTTATTTCTAAAAAATGAGAGATGTTTAGACAAGATATTCGAAGGTTCAGAATATCTCTTAGGACTTTATGAGATTTTTTTGAATGTTAATATTATTTTAAATGTTTGCAAATTCTTCGATTTAGAAATTATTCAATTGTTAATGTGTAATAGACGAACAATAAAAGCGTGACGCTGCGCAGTCGAAACGACAACTTGGCATCGGACAGTGGTTGATAATACATGATGATCGGATTTAGTGACGTCGCCGACGAAGCCGGAGTAAAGGATCAAGGTAGGTCAAGGTAGCACTCACCTTGGCATCATCTGACATAATACTACATAATCACCGTAATCGACGATTACGTTACAAGTTCGAATCGATTGCATCGCGTGCTCGGGAATCCCGATCTTTCCGAACAATAAATTTTTTTTCTTATACTTTACAATATACTTACTTCTTACTGTCGTCGTTTGTGCGAACTGATTTGGCGTCGTCCCCCAGGTCGTCCAAGAGATCGCTTCCAATGCTGAAATAGACAACAGTGAAGCGTTTCTTCAAAGAGATGTTTAGCAAGTTTAGAAATGTTAAGCATGGAAATAAAAAAATCAATACATAAGTAGGTAATTAAATTAATTAAAAATTATTTTTTAATATTATTATTGTTTATATTAATCTTTTATTATTCACGTGGAGGGGGGAGGGGGGAAGGGGTGAATCCAAGATTCCTCAGCTTTGTAAATTCGCTAAATATATGAATGCTATATTTATACACATTACTGTATTTAGCACAAATTTCCAGCAAAACAAGCTGACATTATTTGTCGTCATGTTGACAACAAATAACGTCAGCTTGTTTACTGGATTGTTTCACAATTAAAAAAATTTGTTTTCGCATTTGATCTTTATTTAAAAGATGATCCAAAATATTATTAATCTTTATTTATTATAATTAAAAATCATCAAAGAGAATAATAAAAATTGAAATGTAATACAATATTAAAAGTGTCTTACACACAAATACCTCATGCGAGTAATGATCGATTAACTGAAGAATTTTTGAACGACACCGTTCTCTCTTAGAGAACTCTAAGATACAATTTTGCCGATTAAACGCGCAATGTGGTAATCTAAGTACGTAATTGGCGAAGTCCCTTCGTGGCGACTAAATTCGGTCGAAACATCACAGGAAAACAATTTCTTCAGCATATTACGACCTTCGTAAAGGGTGTTACCCCTTTGATGGTAAATTTCACCAAGTTTCGCCCGCGTAGAGCTTCCTCTCCCCCGTCCTTTGTTGTCTCGAGCTCGAAAAGTCGCACGTGGGTTTCCCTCAAGAGGAAATATTTGTCGATACGATTCCTTCGTCGTGAAAGACTCACCTCGGAAACGAGACACGCGTAAATATTTACAACAATAAAAATGCGCACATGCATTTCAATTTTGCTTAAGGCCATCAACGGTCAGGTTCTCAGATATGAGTATTATCATTGTATAAACGATTTCATATATTCATAGATTGATATTGCAGAAATTGTTGACGTTACGAATCACGTGTGTTACGTCCGGCTCAATTCCAAACGAGGCAAAAAATTAATTCAGCGGACCTTGACACACGAATGACACAAACGAGATGCAGATTCATAATGTCAAATTCAGAATTAGGAAAGTTACTTTATAAACATAAATCGTTGCTGTCTTTTTTCAAAATAAGTAATTCGCTATCGTTATCATAATATAGAGTGTTAAATTAAACCTAATTTAAACTGTTTAACTTCATTGTTTTAATATGAGATAACAATATAACAGTTGAGAAACAGTAAATGGTGACTCAAATTAGGTGACTTAAATTTGACGCTACAGATTTAATGCAAACGTCGTTATGCGGTGTCCAATTTCTTATTTAAGGATATCCAGCATCAGCTGCGTGTATCTCCCGCAAACATCCCTTGCGAAGCAAGCGATGAAGGTAATTGTCGAGGGCAATTTCGGGATCTCCAGAGAGAGGTAGACAAATCTTCCGTTCCGTCGACGATTAAGTTAACCCTTTGACCGCGTATCCGACACCTTGATTGGGTAATTACTTGGAACTACCGGGCGCGAAATATCTCGAAACATCGGCATCGATGAGTATCGAGAGCTTGGATGAGGGGAACGGGGCGACAGGATCGGGGAAGTGAGTCGCTAGTTATCGCGGGTTGTTTGCCGCAGCTCGCGAGACTCCAGACTCTTGGCAGGGCACATTTGGCGGGCTTCGTTTCGCGCTTCATGCTAATGTGTAATATTCCGCGATATACGACTTCCACCTACGTGCCACACGGAGCTTTGTGCTCCGAGGTGGTTGTTACCACGGCCGATTCTTAGGTGCCGTGTGTTTGCCTGCGAGCACTAGGCGACAGACAAAAGAACGTTGCTCCACGTGGCGTGAGATCTCGCGCAAAAATTTCCGATAAGAGAATCTCATTTCTAGCGCTTCTCCTTATTCGTTCGTTTAAGATGCGCTAAAACATTCGCAGTCGATTTTTGCTTTCTACCTCCGTGAACGTTAAATTGGATGGATTCTTTCTAGGAGATACATTCATATTTAAGTTAAATAAGTTATAGACGAAGAATCGTTTTCTTTCAGCACAAGCCAAGAAAGGGGCTTGATACACACTTTTTTCCCTTATCTTCATAATTCATCTATCCTGCTGGCTATTTTTAAATCTAATTCCTAATCGTATCGATATCGATGTACATACAATATTTTTTCGTTATTCCTATCTAATCTCTCTCTATGTACAATAAATATCTATCTACATATTTTATACCTCTCCTTTTTTATTTTTACTCTACTTATTCCATTCTTATCCTACTTAGTTACCCACTTCCTCCTTGTTGTCATTGACTTGATTAAACTCTGACCTACTTCCTCCTAATTTCTCTTAGATTTTTCCTAAGAAAAATCCGAATCCTCTTTCTTCTACTTCCATCAATTTCTAATTTTACGGATAAATTCACGGATAAAGTCTCATAAATAAAAGTTAGAAATTGATAGAAATAGAGGGAAGAGAATTCGAATTTCTAAAGAAAGAAAATCTAAAAAAAAGATAGGGAGGAAGTAGACCAGGGTTTAGCGAAATCGAGTGACGACAATATAGAAGAAGCATATACATATATAATTAGGTAAAATAAGAATAGAATATAGTACTTTTTAATTCAAATGCTGTATCGTTAATTTATATCTAATAATATATCACATTGTTGGTATCAGCAAACCTTGGTGAAATGGTATTTAATGAATCATCGCAAGTTCAGTTAGCATTATCTGGTTTAAGAGGAACTGGTGAAATCAATCGTTAATCCCTTAGAGGGATGAATCCTCGAGGTTCTTAGGCAAATTTTTTATGGGTTAAACTTACTGGCAAGAAAGCTTCCGTTTTCTGGAAACCGGTGCGAACTCGTCCGAGGTGTCGGTCGCCGGTCCATGGCTAGGCGTGGTGGATGACGTACTACGATGATGTCGATGATGATGATGATGATGATGATGGTGATGGTGGTGATATTGATGGCCGGAGGCGGGTGCCTGCTGGTCGGGGACCATCGTCGGGGGTGTCTCCATGTGCTGGGGCGGTTCAGCCCCCGTTGCAATCTGCGGGATGGTGGCGGTGCTGCTGGTAGAGGTGGTGGTGGTAATAGTTGTAGTGGTCGTACTTGGGCTGCTGGGGGTGGTGGTGGTACTGGCAGTGCTGCCGCTGCTGCTGCTGGCGGGGGTTGGAGTCGGGGCGAGACCTTCGCCACCACCCCCCGCCGAGGCGGTGGTTAGCTCTCCCACCCCGGTACCCGTGCCTATCTCGCCAAAATAAACCGTGGAGCACGAACTTCTGCAAGCAAATTTTAATTAAATACCGAAGTAAAAAAAAAATGGCATTCTAATAACGAATCTCAATTAATGAAAAATCATGATCGCAAAAAATAAATTGTAATACACTTAAAAAACATAGTGAAAGCAATTGTAAAAAAGTGACTATCAAATTTTATATTATATATATTTTATATATAAATAGTTGAATAAATTATTTTATCGTTATAGCAACTATGAAATAATTTATACACATATAAATACCTGTGTGTATTAATTCTATATATAAAACTTATGTAGCTATCACCTTTATAGCTACCACTGTTTTTCTCTGAGTAGGTGTAGTATGTACTGTCGATTAAATAAATCGATGAAATAAAGTTGCTGCATTAAATCATGTAATACATGACATTAGTACGTAACACGTACTGAAATTTCGCCGCTTTCAAAAAGTCTTATATAAAGAAAATCGAAAATAAAGAAAAAATTCTTTATATGTAAATATATATAAAAGTGTTTAAAAATTATGCAGAATATATACACAGAATATATTGTCAAAGGAATTATATAGGGAAAAATATTAGTTACTCCTACATCACTATTAAAAGTATCTAATCATTATCTTCGCAATAACAAGCCATTTAGTTATCAAGATTTATATATTTTCAAGACCCAAGGGAATAGGGAAAGTTGTGATCGTATGAAAGTGCATAACATTTTTGTATGTAAGTACGCTAATCATATGCGGGGCGTGTAATAATGTATAGTTACACCAACGTCACATCCGGGAGTATTGGACTATCGTCATCGACCTTACGATCTAGAAGTTCTTACGAGCAATATCGATCCAATCTTTCGATTTGTCTTACCTGTTTGACCGGCATATAAAGTTTTTTGCCGATCGATTAAATCTCGCGTTATCGGCGTTGTCAATCACATTTATGCATATAAGAATATAACAATTCCAATGTATAATCCCGCAATTAATCGCATAATATTTTGAACAAACAAGCATAATTTAAATTATTTTCAAAATTAATCTTCTAGAAAAAGTTGAGAATTATTCTTCATTTTTATAACACTAAAATAGCAAAAGTAAAACGACAAAGTATTTCAATATTTTATCTTTAAAATTCTCCCAGTATTCTTTAGAATCGTAATCCTTAAATATAATTAAGAAATAAAAAAAAACGAGTTGAGATGGGGTTAACAAAATTGTTCAAGATGATCGCATATTTGTTTTTTGTTTGCAAAACGGAGGACCAAGGTCTGCCGACTATCTCGTCATCGACAATGGCATATAGTTCCCTGTAGTATGATATAATGCAAGTGATTAGTGTAATTCTATTTATTCATAGATAGATACGACGCCGACGGCGACGTCATGTCGCGTACGATGCGACAGGTGGGAGCTCGCGTGTAACTGACATACCTATTGCTGACTGTAACCACGAATCTGAGTTAATTCTTCCGTGCTTCAGCTCAATTTCTAAAGTCTAAGGATAGTATTCATAGTCAGTTCTTATATTCAAGACCGTCTTAATTTTTGTTTCGAGGTGTCACACATCAACCAACCAAAAGATCACATTAATGTCTGAAGACATACTTGATACTTAAGACAGTGTTGAAATAAGAACCGACTATGAATACATGCTTAAAACATAAAGTCGCGCGACTTATTTACGAAATGATAATTTTTAATCTGTTTTTTTTTTATAGTTAAACTACTCTCTAAAAC